AGCAATGGCTGCAGGTCAAGCAAAGGGCATTGAGGTCTGGCCTTTAGATTTAGAATGTCGTGATACTATTCCTAATGAAGTATTTTTACCTGATACAACACCAGCAGGTAACAACAAGAATAAAAGCTTAATAAATGTTTTTGAAATTAATTTTATTAAATTGAATTTTTAAATATGTAATTTCAGAGAGGAATGCACGTTATACAAAGTGGAAAATGGCTGTGCAGCGTTCACTAGGATGGGCAACTATGAAGAAATCTAAAGCAATGACTGGTAATTAGTATTTCATTTTATATTTTAAACTGCACTCTAAATATTTAATAAATAATAACTACAATTTTTTTTTTCAAGATGAGCGTTATCAATTATTAGCATCTATTCCTGCGAGTCTTTACATAATAGGCAGTTTTTGTTTACTGGCGTTATCTCAATCAATGCGTAAATAATGATGATGCATTTAAATGATGTGTACATACATTATTGGTGCTTGTTGATATTGCATTTTCAAAAAAGGTGTAAAAGTAGAAATTAAGATCATGACCACATATGTATAAATATGTTTTGTATAAATATGCATTTAGTGTGTCATTGTAATATATAGCATATAAATATATTTGAAATTTAAGTAAATTTGGTTCTTGTTCAATGTATTAAATTAATATTTTGTATGCTACATACATTTCTTCATCATTTTAAAAACGTACAAGTAGCTACTCCAATTTAATATTTCAAAAATATAAATTTGAGATGATTTTATTGCATTTAAAGTTCAAAGAAAAATATTGATCTTAATTTGTGTTATCTTGTAATACGTAACATTTAGTATGTATTACAGGTATAATGCCAAATCAAAAGATATTTATGCATGAAAAATAAAATACTGAAAAGAATCCTACACAAATGTAAAAAAATCATTACATTTTCAATTGCTCGAAGCGCTATAGAAAAGAAAAGCTGAAATTGATATGCAATTAAAATCATAATAGTATAGTATAATTGTTAAATTGAAATCTATTATTTTGAAATTCTTGATTGGAGCAATTGAAATTTATTTTTTTAATGTTACATTTTTTACACTTACGAAATACAGTGGTACCCTGTTTTATGAGTGACGTGATATTCAAGATACGAGCTTTGGGCGAGTAAGAATTTTTTTGAAAAATGTTAATGATACTGAAAATATGAAAGATTTATTCAGTTGTAACAATGATTTTCCTACCACTCCATTTGGAATTTTAACTATACATTAATATTAATTGTATAGTTATACATATTGAGTTTGCGTTTTTTGCTTTTTGTGAATTTACAAAATATGCACTTTTATAACCATATAATTTTATATGAGATGGATTTATATGGCTTTGAGATACGAGTGTGGTATTGGAACGAATTAAATTCCTATGTTTGGGTGCCATATATTACAAAACTAGTGGTGCATAGATTCGATTTAGTGTGCAAATTGCTGGAACTTTCCGTACCGTAATATAAAATGTTTAAAAGCTTCAAAATTGTTTTAAATTGTAAAATTCTTGGGAATTTTAAAATTTTTGAGAAAGTTGGATATATTTTAAATTTTAAATATATATATATTTTTGTATTTCTTTCTTTTTTTAAATTTAGATATTTTTTTCAATGCAATAGCGCGCTAAGCTGTTATAGAGACAAAATATCGAAGCAAAATCATTATAAAATTTGGTGCGGAACCCATAGAAATATAAACAAAGTCTGTAATTATTATTACCATAGATGATGAAATGATTATTAAAATCTCTATAAAATATCTGATAATTTGATGTGCATACGGCATTTCTTTTTACTTTTTTTTTTATTCAATCTCCGAAACCGCTAGACCTGCCTTCCCATAAATTAAATCAGTACTTCATTTTGTTAAAACAAGTCAAATGTTTTTAAATTATTGAAGTCGGACGTTTCGCTCTCAAAAACTGAATTACCATTTTTTTGCACTTATTGCCCCATACCTTCAGAACGTCTGGACCTACCTTGGCCAAAAACTGATCAGCACCTGTTTTTAACAATAGGAATTAAATGTTTTTTGAATCATTCAAATCGGTTGATCTGTGTTCTAGAAATCGTCGACGAAAAATTTTATCCGCACATATACAGACACGCATACATACATCCATTTTATCTAAGGTATGCCAAAATGTTAAAAAACGTTTGAAACGTAAAAATATATAAAAAATTTCATTTTACGATTTTTGCGATTGCTATAACTTACCCTACGGTCAGTTAATTAACCCCTTAACTTACAATCATTATATTGTCTAGGCTTACAATGACGAGCACAGTCCGCATACGATAGTCTATAAATTTTGGCCAATTACGTAGGCCAAACGTAAATATTACGGCCAATTACGTAGGCCAAACGTAAATATTACGGCCATAGCCCGCGTACGATAATCGGGCCAGAAGCTAATATTACGCATTACGGGGATGGCCCGGTACGGTGATCGCAAGTATTACAAAATATTTATTTGTACGAAACTATAAAATACAAAATTATTTTCACTGTACATTGTGTGGGAAAATAGTCACAAACGCCGCGCCAGTTTGAACAACTTTGGCCCAACATTTTCGAATCTAAATCGTAATTTAAGGGGTTAATATATACAGTTACAATTTTAAAATCGGTGGCGATTCTGTGAATGATTGGCAACGTTTGAAATGGTTTGAAATAAATTTCGGTAAATGTCGGTTCTCCGCCAACTTTCATCAGCGCCGCCTATCTTATGATCTTCGATCGCTCACAGATGTCACTATCGACGTTGCGGTGCTTTCGAGCCGAAGTGCTCAGTACGCGTCGGACCGGCGTCGCAATCGCTTCAGCGTGTGTATCGGTTCAGTTTGATGTGTTTGTAGTGTCTGTGCGCGATCAATGTAGTCGGCCATAATGGCTGAGGAATTATTGGTGGTTTTAAATAGAAGTGAACATTTGGGTTTTGGTTTCTCCCTTCTGGGCACGGCAGGATTACCCCACATCATTTACGACATCGTCGAAAATTCTCCAGCTGCCGAATGTGGCGAGGTGAGTCCTTTTTTGCGCAATGTTGTCATTCAACGTTTTTTGTATATAAAGTGTCACACCGTACGTCTTCTGACCTTATGTCAATTTCATGTGACATTTGTTTATAAATAACAAATGGCTCGTGTCAGAATGGACAATAAACAACGCCGGTTGCTACATAACCTAACATCGATTTTTGCATAAATTATGCGGGAACGAATGTAAAATACATTTAACGGCTTCGCGAAAAGATATTAAATGCCCCGATATGCAACACTGATTGCAAATGTTTATATTTGCAATAGGCGGCACAGTGCAATGAACGCTCATATATATTCAGACATTTATAAATATGGAAAGACGTTCTATTATTTAGTATAACACGTGGTGAGACAGATCGAATAATAAATAAACTAACCAATCGAAACGCAATGCTCTGTGATTCGACTCGATTTTGCCAACCGACGAAATTGTTGTCATAGAGATTGTTGTCTTTTAATTTACTAATTATATGCATAGCAAATAATCGAATGGATGAGGATCGAAATAAATTCTGATTTTACATTATTTTTTATATCACAAACGAAAACTACGTGTGAAATCATGGTGATAAACTATATAAAATTATATTCATGTGTTATATAAATATATCTACATTACGCATTCAAAAGAGAACATCCTTTGGAATGTTCTGCCCCTTCCCAATATACTTTTACTTGAAATAGTGTGCACAATGCGAATCAATAAACATGTTTTTATGATCGGGCTGATTTAAAAATGAAAACTACTTGTACATTGTGCCTTAAGGCAAATTACTGGAACTTACCGTACTGAAAATTAAAATTTTTAAAATAGGTTTTTGAAAACTTTGAAAAAACTAGATTTTCGAGAATGTTGAATGTTTTAAACAGAATAGAGTTTTTTGAAAAATTTGACTTTATTTCAATATTTTTAAATTTTTGAAAATGTTTAGCTTTTTTTCAAAATTTTTAAAGATAAAATATCGAAGCGCAAATGCGCTGCTGTCTAACGAAATTGGTACGGAACCCATATAAATGTAAACAAAATTTATACTTATTATTAAAATCTATATGAAATATTTGACAATTTAATGTGCATATGTCTAATGATCATTATTGACCACCAAATGGTTTTTTTTTACTTTTTTTTATTGGATTTCTGAAACCACTGGTCTGCCTTTCCAAAAACATATCAGTCTTCATTTCGTCAATACAAATAAAATGCTTTTTAAACCATTCAAATCGGACGCTCCGTTATCTCAAAAACTGGAATTTCTACTTTTGGCACTTTTTTGCCCGTATCTTCGAAACGGTTGTAACTGCCTTTGTCAAAAACTAATCAGCGCGTCTCCTTATCAATAGGAATCGAATGTTCTTCGAATCATTCAAATTGGTTGAACCGTGTTCTCGAAATCGTGGACGAAAATTATATAGGCACATACTTACATACATATTACACACACATAAATCAATTTTTCTAAGGTATGCCAAAATGTTCAGAAACCTTTGAAACGTAAAAATATATAAAAAAATATATTTTCGATTTTTTTGCGATTACTATACCTTTCCCTACGAGAAGCTAATAAACAGACTCAGCTTTATATATTTTCAAGAATTTTATTAATATTTCTATGTTCTATCAAGATGATTTCTCTAACAATAAGGTATTGTTCTATTATTTTCAATTCAATTCAAAGGTAATCCATCAAGCAGTGTAAAAACCACGTTGTTAGCACAAAAGTTGGAATTGTCTTCTAATTTATTTTAACAACAGTTCGATTGTATTTTTATATTATTTTTATTCCGATTTCATTAAAATTCTAATGTATTTATTAATTCAGATTTATTTCAATTTCTATTACAATTAGAGATAGTTATCAATGAAATTGTAAACAATTTCGATTATATTATTCAAAAAGATCGAATACCAACATTTTATCCACTAAACTGGTCCGACTAGTCGTTCAAACTCGTTCTAATCAAAGTCACGCCCCTTTGTTGTTGTACAAATTACGAAACTTCTATATGCTTTTACACATCTGCCGCTAACTGTCGGCCCCTCAGCCCGATTCGGGCCTGGAATTAATTATTTCATTGGTAAATTTATTTTTGAATTTGAAATTCGATTTTTTATACACCTATCCCTAGTTTTTACACGGAAGATAGGTTCCATAAAAAACTGTGTAACTCCAAAAATTCATTCTTATATGGAAAAAACGTGATAAATGAAAACCACTAATACTGGTGTATGGCATGGTGCCTTAAGGCGAATTGCTGGAACTTCCCGTACTGTAATGAAATATTCGAGGAATATTAAATGTTTTCAAATAGATAATTGTAAATAAATACTGTAACTTCTGTCTAATATTTATGAGAAACTGAATTAAAAACTTAAAATTTTTTATTTAAAGTATATAAGTGAGCTTCAGAACGTTAGCAACAATTAAAATTAAAACCTGAAATATTTTGGATATACAATTTTTTTTCTAAAAGCAATTGTTTTGTCAATACAAGCAAAAAGTTTTTTGAATCATCCAAATCGGATGCTTAGTTCTCTCAAAAACTACAAAATCTAGTTTTGTATTTCAAACATACTAGCTTATACACACAAAAAAATTAGTTTTGTTCATAAAACTGGGAGTTACCATCTTATCTACATTTTCCATCATAGATATAGACTATGTACTAAGAATCCGTAACTGTAATATGCATTTTGCAGTGTTATATTCTGTCAGTAAAACAGTGAAAATGTTATTGTAGATATAGGCAAATTATATTTGTGTTTAAAATTTCATGTGAATGCAAAATTAATAAATTTCGTTAATTTTTTTTCAAAAACTGCGTAAAATCGAAAACGTGTAACACAAGGATAGATGCATTTATTTTATTTTATACTGGAGTAAAATAACTTTTCTAATATGCTGATTATGTTATGATTTATATTTAGCTCATGGAATTAATATTATCATTGCCCAAAGCCGAATTTAATCCAGAGTGTTAGATTAATGAAAATAATTTTGTCTCTTTTTTATGTTATAATTTATTTTTCGCCAATATTTATCAAATTGTATTTCATTAAAATTTTCATTCCATCTTCATTATTGGTAAATCAACAGAAATTGATTCCACATATCCCTGGTTCTCCACATTTTAGATTACTATGAATATCAATAATTACATATTATTAGGTTATTGATAGATGAATTGCTACTTAGATACTCGTGTATTGATAATATACAAAGAATAATTGATTTATTCATATATTTGCCTACATATAAGCATTTTTGAAAATGTGGAGAATGATGTTACATTTTTTGTGCCAGTTCATAATATAGTTTTGTTTTCAAACTTCTAAGTAATTTGAGTTTTTGTGTTTTATTTATCATTAATATGAGTTATTTATTTGCACATCATATGTATAATATTGCCATGACTGAGGACATATACCTGTAATTAATATGACACACACCTGTGCGCCACATGTTTACACATTACAGCCAATTTTTATAATATAATATTTCACGTTGATTTCTCAAGTTATTTTGCAGCGAAAAATTTGTATATTATTAATACACGAATGTTATAGATGTTATGTATATGTACATAATTGCAAAATATGTAATTTATAATTTCAAATTATAAGCCTTAATTCAAAATTCATAGCAAAATCGATCCAAAATATGTTTCCAGATGAACTCTTCAGGGTATTGTGATAATTATTGTTAAGTCAAAAATGGCAGTTTGAAATATGTAAAAATATTATCACAACTAGAAAGTATAACCAAACTGAAGGTTAAATTAAATTATTACAGGATATCTGTACTACCCCTATTATATTTTGTTCTTTATTTAATTTTTTTTATTTTACGTAGCCAATTTGCTTGACCAATGATCTCATAAATAGCCATTTATATTAATTATTATTATTATTATTATTATATTATTATTATCTTATTATTTCTAATATTGTTGTTTTGGTATATTTATTATTATCTGCCACTTATTGTTTTTATTCCTCTTTATAGTTTTTCTAGTATTCTTTTTATTATTAAGAAATTTTATTTATTAATTTTTTTATTATTATTACTTGCTTTTATTTTATATTGAATAATTATACTACTGATAACATTTTAATAAAAATACTATCCTTTATTTTGTACCCTTTTTTATTTAAATTTATGTTATTGTTCATCATTGTTACTAAATGTTCAATTAACACACAAAAATTGTAAATATAAAAAAAATTACTCATCAATATAATATATACATAATCAAAATGAAATATTTTTTTCTAACTAAATATTCATTTTAAATTACTAACTAACACTAAACATATACATATTCTATTTATTGATGTTGTTACACAGGGTTATATTATTTTTTGTAAATAGATATCATGGATAGAAATATTTTGTAGCAAAATTAACTCTAAAATAGCTATCATATAATAATATAACTGATTTTTGCCTTGAAATATATCCATTATTTAAAAATAACAATTTTGTCTCAATTAAAATTATGATAAAGAAACTAACGATCAACAGCATCGTTTATAAATTGAAACCCATCACGGCCAGCCTGATGTCAAGTAGTAGTGACATCGGTTTTTATTTGAAAATATAGATGGAAATATGTTTCCAAGTGAAACTAGCCCTTCCCAGGCATTGCTGTATCAAATTAAATATCATAAGTATTAGAAAAATTGTAATAATAAAGAACATCAAATGATAGGCCATCGGGTTGCCTGATACATAAGTATATAAGGCTCAGTTCTAATTGTTGTTCAAATAAACAAAGGAAAAAATCAATTGTGACTTTCCTCATGTTTTTTGCATATTTGCATATACAAATAAATTTATTTTACTTCACACTATTTTGTGCGTATTTATTTATTTTCTACCCGATTATGACTGACTGTTGAAACATGGGTAACAATGTGCAAAATATTACACAAACCTTCATAAAATAAGTTCTTTTATTTTCTTTTCGTTTAAATTATTT